TTCTCGTCGACGAGAAAGGGGAGCAGTCGGCAGGTGAGGAGTCCACTGACAGCGATGTATTGGAAGTGCCGGTCACGAAGCCCGAGCTGCGACGCACAGTTCGAGCCCAACGGCCGCCGGAGCGGTTGAGCTTCTACGCCTGCTTGCCGCCAGCTGCCTTCACCACGGTGTACGACGAGGTCGACGACGACCTGCTGTACGACGATGCCGAGGAGGATGAAGACCTGCCGGAGCTCGACCCTGACGTGCATGCCGACCCCGAACACCACTGGGACATCGCCACGATGACGGTGAAGGAGGCGCTGTCGAACTGGAAGGGCGAGGCGGTGAAGGCCGCCATGGAAGAAGAAATCCGTAGCCTCATCGCTATGGGGACTTGGGAGCTGGTCGAACGCCCACGCGGGGTGAACATCATGAAGAACCGATGGGTGCTGACGACCAAGTACCGCATCGACGACACTGTCGAGCGCGAGAAGGCGAGGCTAGTCGTGAAGGGCTTCACGCAGGTGTACGGCACCGACTACGACGAGACGTACTCACCGGTGAGCAGCTGCGTCACGCTGAGGATCTTCCTGATGCAGCTCGACATGAAGAACGCTTTCCTGCAGAGCAAGCTCGACAGGGTGCTCTACATGTACCAGCCGGACTACTTCAACGACGGGACCGGCCGGGTGTGTAAGCTGCCGAAGAGCCTCTACGGGCTGAAGCAGTCGCCGCTGCTGTGGTACAGGGCTCTCGACGGTGTGCTGCTGGGCGCTGGCTGGAAGAAGAGTCAGGTCGACGAGGCGCTCTACTTCAAGGCCAGCGATGACGGAGTGACCTGCTGGGTGCTGGTCTACGTCGACGACCTGCTTGCCGCTGGCAGCAGCACAGCGATGCTGAAGGAGCTGAAGGAGCTGCTGGAGACCGCCTTCGAGCTACGTGAGATCTCGCCGGTGGTGAAGTACCTTGGGCTGGAGATCGTGTGCGACAGGCCGGCCAGGAAGTTGTGGCTGCACCAGCAGGGCTACGCCGACAAGCTACACAGGCGCTTCATCGACGAAGAGCAGGGCGGTCGAGTCCCGAAGACACCGGTCTCGGTCGACGCCTACGCTCAGCTGACGTTCGATGACGAGGAGGCTCAGGAGCGCGAAGGGGAAGAGTACCGGCAGAAGGTCGGCTCGCTGCAGTTCGCGGCGACGACGACAAGGCCGGACATCGCGTTTGCCTGTAGCAAGCTGGGAAGTGGCCTTACGGTGAGGAGCGACCAGCATTGGCGCGAGGTCGACCGCTGCCTCGCCTACCTCGCCGACAATCACGATACCGCCTTGGAGTTCGGCGGTGGACTAGAATCATTGGAGCTGATCGGCTACGTCGATGCCGATGACGCGGGCGACAAGCAGAACCGGACGAGCATGGAAGGCTACGTGTTCGTCTACGGTGGGGCCGCAGTCTCCTGGTCGAGTTCGCGCATCAAGTGCGCGACATTGTCATCGACCGAGTCGGAGTACGTGGCGGCCACGGATGCTGGCAAGGAGGGGCGTCGACTCCGCTTCCTCCTTGCGGAATTCAAGCTCCTCGACGCTGGGAAGCCGACCATCATCCGCATCGACCACAAGTCGGCAATCACGGTCGCTGAGGGCTTGGGGCTGACGGGCAACCTCAAGCACATGGAGCGACGCTACGCCTGGCTGCAACACATGGTGAGGCGCGGGAAATTTGTGCTGAAGTACATCCCGACCACCGAGCACCCGGCGGACTTCCTGACGAAGGCGCTACATTTTCCGGCTTTCAATCGGTGCTCGGTCGACATTGGCCAAGTTCGTCTGGCCGGCGTCGGCGACGGCGACGATGAGGTGCAGCAGTAGGTGCCATGCCCTTCTGCACGGCTGGTGCGGTGACGGCGTGCTGTGTGTGGGGTGCACGCCGGGGATGAGTTTTCTCCGTGGAGTACTGCCGTGTGGGCTGGAGGCCCAAGCGTGAGCGCGGCAGGGGAGTGTTAACAGGAATGGAGTGTTGGCCCCGCCCTCGCTTGGGCAACGCCGACGACTTGGTCGGATGTACGGGAGTAGCAACCGACCGTTCACAGTGGGAGAGCTCCTCGACAGGCTTCGTCGAGCTACAGGGGACCGCTGTGGTGTTGCTGTCGACTAGGGAGCTCGACAACTGCAACTGACTGGTCTGGGCGACGGGTGGGACGTCGACCAGGACCTGCAGTTCGACCGGGAGGTCGACGGAGCAGTCCGTCGACCTGACAAGTGAGCAGCGGTCGACGAGGGGAACTCGGCGACAACTGCTGATGGCTCTGGTCGACGGAAGGGGTCCGTTGAGCAGGTGGTAGCTCGATGGGAGTTGTGGTCGACCAGAGGGACCTGGTGGTCGACCGGAAGCACCTGGTGGTCGACCGGGTCGACTGGGTAACCTGCTCGACGAGTTCTGCGGAGGCACGCGAACGTCGTCGAGGTTGCGATGGCGCAGGCGACTGCGGGCTGGTATCCCGGAGTCGATATGGCTCGTCAGGCGCAGATAACAGCCGACGAATGCCCAACGAGGCAAGTCGGGCCAATCGTCTGCGCACACCTGCGATCGTGCACACTGCTGTGTTCTACGGGGCAATGTTGGACAGCCGCTCTGCTGCAGCGTTGGCACTCCGTCGACCTGCTCTGTTGGTAGGTCGCCTTTCTGCAGTGCTGGCGCGGCTCCTCTACGCAACGCTGGCAGGCGGTCGACCAGGCTAGCAGCAGGGTTGCTAGGTGCCTGATGTAGTCATTGTTGCCATCTCTTGTTGTACTGATTCTGGAATTCCAATTTTGCTAGTCTTGCCAATTTCTCCCGTGAATGTGCAAACACTAAGGAACCAAGCAAAGCTACGATCACCTCTAGTAGTTCGTGCCAACCCCTGTAGTCTAGCTCACTACCGTTGTAGAGTGTATCTCCGCACACGTCACACCCCTAAACAAACTTGCAGACTTGTGTCGGTTGGGTTGGGTGGTTGGGTTCAGATTGGACACTAAAGGAAAACAATGTATGCAGTTGGTGAACCTCGCTGGCTTTCGTGGATTCGATTTATTTCGTTAAATTTATGGTTACATTACACTGCCCTCGTCACTCTGCAAAACCGCATGAAATCTCTCTCGAACGTTCGCCACCGACTGATCTGAAAAAGTTGACGGAAAAGCAACTGGTGTACCGAATGTTGCGATTTTCATGCGTTGATTTTCGGATACTTCGCGCAACTTGTACGCCAGGTTTGCGCAGAAAAACCTTCGGAGGCCAATTTTCGCAGCTTTCCTTTTTCGCAATGACATTTCTACTGGTGGTAGTAGTGGAAGGCAAAGCAGTGATTTTGAATTGAGGATCTAGTGCTTGTTGCTGCGCGAGTATTAGTGGACAGGAAAGGGCGCGACGCGATGATCTAGCCTGGCGCTCGTGTTGCGGTGCGGGAGGCTGAAACAACATCCAATCCAACGATACCCATCGTTGGAGAGATGGAAGATGACTAGCTCTTTTGTAAGTTGTAACATCATGGTATTGGTTTGGACTCTAGTGAGGAACAAGGAGGGTGGGGTCGAGCGACCGAGATCAGTGGCACACCGGTCACGTGGATAGACTGTGAAACTTGACTTGATCGTAGGGTGAGGAGTGAGCTATCCGTCTACGGACACGCTCCGGTGCCTCGCATCGCTATACACCCTGTTTCGCGCTAGCAGAGCATCTGGTTGCAGAACATGCACTGGTTGTAGAACGTCACCACGTTTGAAATGGTCTTATCACCGACGGTACAAGCACATTCACAAGAAAGCGGTTAGCTAGGATGCTGCATGGTAAAGAACATTAACCAAGCGTTTCAAAGCGGTTGAAAAGGGTATACAGCGATAAAGAAAACTTTTGCCCCCAGTACCACTCCGTCAGCTGGTGCGGCTTTGCCCGCAGGTTTCAGCCATACGGTTTATGGCACCTGACCGCACTGTAGCAGCGAATCGCGCAAGGTGAGAGGGTCGAGAAACAGGGTGTACAGTGGGCGCATAGCAACCAGTCAAGCCGTCAAGTTCGTTCTTGACAGTTGGCGCTCCAGTGCCGTAAGTGCGCGTGTCTTCTGAAATTCTCTGTAAAGTTCATATTGTTTTCTCGAATTTTCTCGTTTGAACTCTGATCGACTTGTAGTCGACCATCTCGACTTTTGGAAGGCGATTTCTTCATCACCTTTCGCATCAAGCAAGGGGCACAACAAAGTTCGACTTTAGAAGTTCGACTTTATACAGTAAAACCAGAGTTGCGCACAAATTTCGTTGGCTACCTGGTTTGACAGCGCTGTTCGTGATCGAGTCCAAATTCAGTAACGTGGTACGTTGTCAGCTGTTACTGTCGCGGAAATCGTAAATTCACTGTGCACGAGAGGAAGAACACACGTTCGGATAACGGGCACGTGAAAACTCGACCCCAGTTCATGGACCTTCGGTTTCATCAATCATTGAACTTGGACACACGATTTTCGCAAAGTGCTCGATACGAAATGCTCGTAAAAGGTAACCAGCAAAAGGTCAACATTATTTTTGAACATCTACACCAAAAGACACGCGCCCTAATTGTGGTGCCTACCCTCGTTACAAAAAGGGGAAAACTCGATGCTTGTAGAAATTTCATATAAGAAAGTGGAAATAGAGTAAAATGTGGGGGGCCTTTTGCGATCTTTCTCATAAGCACATATGGTATTGGCTTACCATAACTGGTTGAATCAATCATTACAACAAACTAAGAAACGCGAATCATCAGCTCATTTATCGTCATAAGCAGGAGGACAAAGGTTCCCGTTCAGAGTACGCACTCCCAGCCCTCTACTTTTGCACTTTGCCTCCTTCCCTCCCTCTCTTCCCCTCTTTTCCCCCATCCTCCTCAACCCCTCCAACAGTAACCAAAAGTAGTACGATAAGGTCCCTGGGCAACGCCCACCTGCATGTCAATAAGAACAGACCCATCACTCTGCCCCACTCCCCCACGCCCCAGAAGTCCAATCCTTCCTTTTACACCTGATCCTGCCCCTCTTCCTTCCCCTCGCCCTCCGTCTCCCCCTGCCCCTGCGGGCCCTCATCACGCGCCCAGGGGAAGAGCTGCAGGGGCTTGTAGGGGTGGGCGAGCAAAAAGTCATTATTCACCACCAGCCGCACCACCTGCAGCACATGGCTCCGCTCCCGCCGAACCTCCTTCTCCAGCAGCCTCGCCAGCAGGCTCGGCGACCGAAAATCCCCCTGGGTGTCCCGGTTACCGTGATTGCCATGGCTCATCTGGCTCCTCTCCTGCCCTTGGTTTGCCCACCCGCCCTGCTGCCCCTGCCCCTGCTCGTCCCACTGTGTGTGCTGCTGCCAGTCCTGGTCAGCGACATGGGCAAAGGTGCAGCGAGCGCCCTTCTTGCAGTGCCCGCGCAGGAAGAAAGCGCACACGCGCTTTGTGGAAGACCGCGCAGCCTGCTGCGTGGAAAAGCGGCTGTCAGTGTGGACCCCCGTCGGCTCAGCTGTCAAGGCAGGAGCTGCCTTGCCTGCAGCAGCAAGCCCAGCAGCAGCTGTAGGTGCAGCAGTGGGTGTTGGAGCAGCACCGTCACCATCACCAGGTGGTGCTGTTGCCTCCTCCACCATCTCCTCCTTCACTGGCTGCCCCACCTCTGCCACCTTGCCTGTCCCACTTGCTTCCATTATCCCTGCTGCCCCTGCTGCCCCTGCTGCTCCTGCTGCCCTTGATGTGGCTGCTGCCGCTGACACCAGTCCAATGCAACCATCCTTCCTCACACCGCCACCTGCAACCACCACTCCTCTTCCACCTACACCTTCTTCTCCTTTCCCCACTCCCGCTTCCTCCTCCTTCTCCTCCTCCTTCTCCTCCTCCTCTTCCTCTTCCTCTGCGCCCATGTCAACCTCGTCCTCCACTCCTACTGCCTCTTGCACTGCGAATGCTTCACCATCACCCACTCCATCACCCACTCCATCACCCACTCCATCACCCACTCCATCATGCGGCTCTGCTATATCACCACTCCCCTCGGCAGTCCCAAAACTCTCGTCATCCGACCCCCCTAGCAAATCCCCTTTCTTCTTGTTTCCGTTGCCCAGCTCATCAGCAGCACCAGCAGCAGCATCGCCAGCAGCTGCAGCAGCACTGCTGACATCCACAGCACCATTCACTCGCAAAACCTTTGTTGCCCTTTCTCCCTCACCCAACCCCCCTTCTCCCTCCCCATCCAACCCAACCTCTCCTCCCTCGACTTCCCCCAGAATACCTTCCTCTTCCTCCCCATTCCCCAGTCGTTCAGTTCCCTCTTTCTCCTCCATATTAGCCCCACCCTCCTCCTGCCCACTCCCATTTCTAACCGTGCTTATCTCCTTCATATCACACCTCCCTCCTTCCTCGTCCTCATTACTTATCCTCACCCACTCCCACACACAGTGCCCCCGGCCTTGCATACCCATCCCTCCACTCCCCCTCCTCCTCCACTCCTCCCGCCACCCACGCCCCCCTCGCCCCCCTCTCTCCTCCCAACCCTCTCTCCCGCCTCCCCTCCCCCTGCCTCCCCTCTCCGAGTTGTCACGCAGGAGGTGCGTGGGCACTTCACAGATGGGAAGTCCCAGATTGGCCTGGAGGGCCAGTACCTCCCTTAGCCGCTGGAAAATACGGTCGGACAGAACAAAAACGCGCATGGGGGAAAGTGAGATGCAGGGATTTTGAGAGCAGCGCGGGTGCGGGAGGGGAAGGGGCAGGCTGAAAAGAAACAGAGCAAGAAGGGGAGAGGAAGGGAATGGTTGGGAAAGACCGAGTGGCAATGCGGAGGGGGAAGAAAGCAATGGGAAAGAAGGGAAGGCGGATGAATAAAGAGCAGCGGAGAGGAGGATAGAGGCGGGGAGAGTGAGGGAAGAGGAGGGGGGAGGAGGGGTAAGGAGGACAGAGGAAGGGAGAGGAGGAGAGGAGGGGAGGGGCAGGAGCGGAAAGGGGGTGGAGGGAGGGAGAGGGAGAGGAAGGGAGAGGGAGGGAGTGGGCGGGAGAGAGCGGGAGAGGGAGGGCGGGAGAGGGAGGGAGATGGAGGGAGGGAGGGAGAGGGAGAGAGAGGGAGGGAGAGGGCGGGAGAGGGTGGGGCGGGAGAGGGTAAGAGAGGGAGCGAGGGTGGGAGAGGGAGTGAGAGGGAGAGAGAGGGAGGGAGAGGGAGGGAGAGGGGGGGAGAGGGAGGGGGAGGGAGGGAGAGGGAGGGAGAGGGCGGGAGAGGGAGGGGGAAGGAGGGGGAGGGAGGAAGAGGGCGGGAGAGGGAGGGAGCGGAAGGGGGAGGGAGGGAGAGGGAGGGAAAGCGAGGGAGAGAGAGTGAGCGGGAGGGAGAGGAATGGAAGGGGCTGGAAAGGCTGTACCTGTTGCCTCAACTTGCGGTCCTCATCCACCAGCTCGCCCCTCTCCTTGCGCTTCCTTGCCTCCTCCTCCTGCTCGCCACACATATGGCACATATGGCACACATGGCACCCATGGTACACATGGCACCCATGGTACACATGGCACCCATGGTACACATGGCACCCATGGTACACATGGCACCCACGACATGCCCACAAAAAGGCTTAGAATGCTTGCACGCATCTGTGCACTCTCCCATGCAGCAGCATACACGCATGCTCCGACAAACACAGAACCACAGGAGCTTCTAAGGTGCACCGCATGGCCACAGCCCACACTACCCCCAACAGGCACACATGCCTGGACTACCACAGGACTGCCCATGCGCAGCACGAAGTGCTGAATCTTGCACTGTCAGCAACCAAGCCAACCACTGCGCTGCACTGTACCACATGTGCCCATTGCACTTCCCCGACCACCCATCCACCACCCACCACTCACTTGCACATGGCCCGTGGGCCATCAGGGCACTAATTACAGGCACCACCAACCAAACACCAGCAAGGGCATAACCAAACATACCTCCACGCATTCCCTTTCACCTCCCTACCTGACACCCTCCCAGCCCCCAGCCCCTTGAATCCTCCCCCATTCCCCCGACTACCCCTCCACAGAGCAGGGAGGCACCTTGCGCTGCAGGTTGGCGGCGGTGGGGAAGTTGCGGCGCCGCTCCTCCACCCACTTGGCGAGCTGCTCGGGGCTCTCCTTCTTGCGGTACTCCAATGCTCTGATTTAGGGCGTGGTGAGAGGGGCGTGGTGAGAGGGGCGTGGTGAGAGGGGCGTGATGGGGGAATGAGTGGGACGAGAGACCAGTGGAGCACAAGTGGTAAAATGTTTGGAAAGTGGGCCGCACGCATGGCGTGGAGGAGCGTGCTCTTGAGACGTCTCGAGGAGCACGTAGTCGATCCTGTGCCCACTCGCCTTGTCTCGTCCCATTCATGCCGTGGCTGCGCCGCCAAGCCATGCAAGCACAGGCTTGACAACAAGCACAGTTGGCATGAAAGAGCATGAGAACGGGAGCAGAGTGTGGGGGGGGAGGGGGGGGGGGACAAGCGGGTAAGCAGAGGTGGCAAGTTGGTGAGCAAACGCTGACCGTTTCAGGCGAGCAGAGGAAGGGGCATCGTGCACTGATGACTTGTGGTCCTTGAGCGCTCGCCCTGACATGCCATGCCATGCCGTGCCATGCCATGCCATCATCACAAGACCACAGTGGCAACAGTGAGTAGCAGGGCGGATTGACACTCAACACAAGGCCATCCCATGCACGCATAGCAGGTGGTAGGGGAGGGTTGGATGAGGGGAAAGGGCGGCAAAGGGGGAGCAAACAAAGACGGGTATTGAGAAGCGTGGTGGGGGCGGAAAGGAACAGGTCAAACAGAGGAACGAACGGGCAAGGATTGAACAGAATGGGGAGATGGGGAGAAGCGAGCGAGTGGAAGTAAGGGGGGGGGGGGGGAGGTTGGCGCAATGAAAGTAGGAGCGGTGGGTTGCAAAAGCAGGAAGGGACAAAAGAAGGGGGGAAGTGGGGGAAGGGAGAGGGGGAAGGTTTACCGCAGGCAGAGAAGGAGCAGCCTGGCGAGTCACAGGCTTCGTGCGTGGCGAGATGTGAAGTGAGGAAGTCTTGCGAGGAGAAGGACCGGTCGCATGGTGCACACATGAATGGAGACGCTGCTGCCCCTGCTGCTGCTCCTCCTCCTCCTCCTCCTGCTGCTGCTGCTGCTCTTGGTGTTCCCACTGTTGCTGCTGCTGCTGCTGCAGATGGTGATGGTGATGCTGGTGATGGGGAAGCAGGGAGAGGTGCTACCCCAGGTGGTCCTGGTGATGATGGTGTGAGGGATGCTGGTGATGGGGGTGCAAGGGATGCAGATGCAGATACACCCACTAACGAAGGGGATGCTGCACCCTGCATGCCGCCACTCTGACTGCCGCCATTCATTCTGTTGCCCCCAAATCTCCCTCTACCCTCCCCATCCCGCCTGCCCTCCCCCCACCCCCCCCGCCCGCCCCACCTCCCCCCTTGCCCTCTCCCCCTGCCCTCTCTCCCCCCACCTCTTCCCTCTCCAAACCCCCGCCCCTCCCCACCTCTACCGCCACCCCAACTTCTTTCCCCGCCCCTGCCCCTCGCTCCGCCTCCTCTCCCTCCTCCTCTTTCCCCATCCCTCCACCCCCCTCTCCCTCCCCCGCCGCCTGCCCTGCCCCCATCCCCCCTTCCCCCCCATCCTGGCCGACCAGGGGCGCCTGGCGAGGGAGGGGGGGCGGAAGAATGAGGGGGACCTCCGGCGACCGGGGAAGGAGGGGGCGCCATGGGCGGAGGGGCTAACGCAGGGTTCGGGGGATAAGGGGGGTTTTGAGGGAAGGAGGGGTTTTCGAGGTAGGGAGCAGAGGGGCGTTGAAAAGGGGGAGTGGGGGCTTGAGCCGATGGGAAGGGGACTGGGGCGGGGGGGTACGGGGAAGAAGGGGGGGGGAACGATTGTGGGGGAGGCCGGGGAGGGGCGGTGAGAATAGGTTGCATTTGCGGCGGCTGCTGGTGTTGTTGTTGCTGCTGCTGCTGCTGCTGCTGTGGCATGGAAGGGTACGGGAAAGAGGACGAGTTGGAATTGGGAAGAGGAGACGCAGTAGGGTAAGACTGGGGAGGTTGATAGTGCTGCTGCTGTTGTGGCTGTTGCGGCGGCGGGAGCTGCTGCTGGTGGTGGTACGGAGGAGGGGCGGCGATGGAGGGTGGACCCATAAGCTTGCTCTGAGGGGAGCCCATTGGCACGGCAACAGAGGTGGCAAGTACCGGCGGGCGATTCTGCCACTGCTGCTGCTGCTGCTGCTGCTGCTGCGGCGGCTGCTGTGGCCCTTGGTGGGGCTGTTGAAAGAATGGTTGCTGCTGCTGCTGCATGCCCGGCTGCTGCCAGTTTTGCTGGCTCTGGTTAGCACCTCCCACGGACGGATAAGGGGGGCGAAACGGCGCACCAGGCGCGGAGCCAGGCGCTCCCCCCATGGGCGGAGCCTGGACGGAGGAGGGGAGGGAGAACTGGGGCAGACCATTTATGACGGGCGAATGGATCGAGATGCGAGTGAGAAACAACCGTGGAATGCGCGCACTTCAGAAAACCCGCCGGGATGATCAACAACGAAAGAACCAAGACAAGGGAGAAACTAAGACCCAAGAAAAGGGAGAAATCTGCTTGCGGATCGAATTTGCGGAGTTCAACGGCGGTGGAAAAGACTCGTGCATGCAGTCGTTTGCGTCTGCATGATTCGCACCCTGCATACTCAGCGTCGTATATCGCCTTGCTTCGTTGCACATCTCGAACCATCATCTTCGCTCCTGAGCGCGCGTTCGCCGCCCGGCACTGAAAACGAGAGCTCCACTCCACTTGCCACGTGAAGCTGCCACCACCGGCCGTGCTATCCACGAGCGTGCGTGACTGCATGCGAGCATGCATGCATGTGAGCATCTTCGGATCTGGGCGGTAGAGAGGCTCACCATGGGAGGCGGTGCGGACGACCATCCTGCCGTCGTCGCGGCACCAGCAGGCGATCCATACGCGCCCGCACCGCCGGCCCCGCCCGCGCTATTCCACTGCGCGCCCATACCGGGAGGTTGACCTGCCGGGTACTGCGCGCTGATCCCGCCCGGCCCTGTGAATCCTGCTGCCGAACCTCCGTTTGCGGCCTGGTACGGGCCCGCGTACATCTGGTTCGGAAGCTGGTTCGGATACGGCTGCGCGTTGGTCGGCGGAGCAGGTGCCATGGGCCCTTGCGGAGGCGGCCAGGGGTTCTGCATAGCGGTTGGTGGGGAACTAGTTCAGAGAGAGGAGCGAGGACGGGGATGTGTGTGCCAATTATGCCAGTTGGAAACGGGGTGGACTCGCTAGGTTGATGAGGGTGGAAGAAGGGTATGCCTAGAGGTATAAGTGCAAGAGGGTATGGTGAGAATCAGGGTTCGGGTTCTTTGCGAGGTTTACGCGTTAGGCGCTGGTTGTGCGAAACCCTATTGTAACACTTTTCGTCCGCAATTACTACTACAAACAACTGTAATACCGCTAGCACTTACAAGTTCTACACATCAAACGAAAATAATGTACTTCCCTCTTTACCCACAATATAGTCAGCCTTGTGCACGCCTCCATTTGCACAATCTAAATCCGGCCCAATTAAAAGATCTCTGCATCCTTTTAAAGTTCCAGATTATCAGCTGTCATATACACTCCTGTGTGCATCCACCCCTTGCGGTCACATCAAATCACCAGCCATGTCGACTAAGGGCAGCGGCCAGCGCACCAAGGGAGGAGTCAACTGCCGTGTTCCAGGAGCGTGCCACACTGTGCCTGAAGGACGGTCCAAACAGCTGCACTGATGTCTGCACACAGCAACTCGGGAAATAGCAGTGCAGGGTGGGGACCAGGGAAAGCAGGGAGGAGAGGCAGAGGGGAGGGGTGGGAATGATGGGATGCGAATGGAACAGGAGTGTGCTGACACTCCTAATGGGACTCCCAACGAGCTGATTATTGGTGTATGGCAACAGCTGCTGCTAAAGAGAGGAAAAGGACAGATGGCTTCAGACTTGCTTGCCAGGAAACTGTGCCAGTTCAGCAATCCATGCAAGTATACAGAAGCTCCGAATGAAGGTCTGGGACGAATCCTGTGAGGCGTAACCCTACGTTTAAGTATTTCAAGTGGTACACCGCCCTCACAAGGTGGAATGGCAGCTGTTCTTCCAAGCCCATGCCTGCCTCCAACCAAATGGCCGGAAGCAATCATTCGAACAAGGAACACACACTCAGCGTCGTAACCATGGCCACCTCGGGAATCAGCAGTCGTAACAAAAAGGAACGGGATCCATGAAAAAAAAAACCACACACACACACACACACACACACACCTGGGAAACCAATCCTCCACCCATTACTTTCATCTGACTGACCTCAAGCGGAGGAAGTGCAGGTGGGGCGGTCTGGTTGGCTATGGTTCTTCCCGTGGCAGCGGTGCTTCGCCACACGGCAAGCTTGCAGCCCCAATACGCCGCCACCGCCGCACCCACGCCACTCGCCATGCCCACCACCCGCTCCTGCCGCACTATCGTCGCGCCCACCCCCATGCCTGGCGCACGGCGCGGGCGAGGGGAGGACAGGGGGGAGGGAAGGAGTCATCGAAACAAGCAAACAGATGTGTTCGGGAGTGGGGGAATTTTGGCCACGAGGGGGATGAGATGAAGCAAGGCAAGAGGGTGGGACAGGGGGAATGAAGGGACAGGTAAAGTTGAGTGAGAGAGAAAGCATACGGTGGTGTTGGGGCCGTGTAGGAATGTGAGAGGATGCGTGTTGGTGCGGGGAGTTGGAGGGATATGAGACCCGACTAAGGGAGAAGTAAGTCGACGAAGGGAAGGGATCAGCTAAGGCGGGCGGAAACAAGGGATACGACTGACAGGAGGAGGATATAGCCTGCCAAAGAATCTTAACCGGGACCGCGGGACTCGCACAAGAGCGGCTACATGCAAAATTGAAAAGTAGCGCTTGGGAGACTAACGAACATCTAGTACATGCAACAGCGACGCTGGTCTCCAAGAGACACCTACATTACTCCGAAGCTAAACCCGCGCAGATCCTGCAGAGTAGAGTGCGATGCGATAAGGCTAACCAGCCCGCGGAAGGCCAGTACTTACCAGCGGAGTTGCGCGGATAGTCAAGCGATGATTACGGACAGAGCGCTCAGCTGTGCCTGTCTTTTTCCTCCTGAATTCCTGCCACAACTAGTCACGACGATTTGATTAGTCACGAGTCACGACTCAACCAGCATTCCAATACTCATATGTACTAACTCGCTTTACGAATGAATGGAAAGAACAAACCAAAGCCACATTGCTACGGTAATGTTGTTACTGCAATATACTATCGAGTTTCTGATAAGTAATTTGTTTATCTCAACAATTTGAATCAGCAAACATGTCAGGCTATCATTCCTCAATCACCCAGACACAAATATCGATTCACACCATAATGGGGACTTTTTTCTCCCCAATGATTTTACACCTACTCTAGCAAACCTAGAATCTTGCTTGACACTCAGGGTGTGATATTATCGAGTACAGCTCCTTCCACATCCACCAGCTCCACACCATAACGTAGTTGAACATCCTCCGACTCCTGATCAGCCGCACAATATCTGGTCTCTCGATTCTCAAGTGCCAGGATTGAGCGCAGGCTCTAGGCGCATGTAAGCGTACACGACATCGAGCCACGCGTCGGGCACGCCGGGCAAGCACCAGTGCGTGCAGTCACCCAAATCCGGCGTTGCCAATGCTTCGGTGACATTATCCCTCTTCTGCCACCACATCCCCAGGTGCCCCTCGGGTCTCATTTCAGACATCCTTGTTACTTTCACGACCCGCATGTTGCTGCTGCTCGTTAGCAAGCGTCGCTGCATCTTGAAATACTCCTCCGCTGTTCGTATCGACTCGTACCATTTGAACGCGCCCTTCGGACCGATGGGTTGCACTGCGCCGCACGCCCCATCCCCCCGTGCTGTGCGCATAACGGGGCCGTGCTTGGGATTGAAGGTCAGGAAGAACGGGATTCCCGAGAAATTCGACTGCTTCACGTGATTCGCGAGGGTTTTTAACCCCGTTTTAAGCGCCTCGATATTCGTAATGTTCTGCTGCACCACCCCGTTCACCATAAAAGTATTCGGCTGCTTCCTTCCCGGAACGTTCTGCAGCCACCAGGTGCCGGACGAAAAGACCGCCACGTCATACATGGGCAGCAGGCGCACCACAACGGGGTGCACTGACGTCACGTTCACGACGTAACCGTGCGCGCCGCCGCGCTTGGCGCCGTTGGCCTGCTGCTGGAACGCATCCATGAGGTAGGGCGAGAAGTAGTAGGCGACGCTGAAGTTGAACGTCGGGAAGAAAATCGCCTTTACGCTGTTCAGCGGCTTGTGGCCTCTCTGTGGGTCGGAGGGGTTACGGGGGAGTGCGGAGGGGTCCGGAGGGAAGAAAGGAAAGAGTGAGTGGTCGGGGAGCGGTGAAGAGGAATGGGGCACGAGGGCAAGGAGAGGAGAATGGGTGAGAGAAACGAGGGGCGATAGTGTTCTGACAGAGACTGGCAGTGATAGGAGTAGGATGACAGGGGAACATGGCACTGAATAAACCGCCTTCTCCCCAACGTTTGCCCCTTTTCGTAAGCCTCGTCAAATTCCTCATTCCCGCGCACGCGCTCGCCCATGCCTCATCTTCCCCCATTCCCGCTTCCCCCCTCCCTCCCCGTACCTCCGCCTCGTGTCCGCCCGTGTAAATGGAGCACAGCAGCGACTCGTACAGATTGCCCATAATGGAATCGCCCACCAGTAGCATGCGCTGCCGTGCGGAAGGGGATCGGGAAGCGGGTCGGGAGAGTGCGGAAGGAAGGGGATATTGAGGAGGGGTGAGTTGGGGAAGGAGCAGCAGCGGATCGTGCAGGTTCAGCCTCGTTCACCCTCAGCATGCGCTTCCACTAGTCGGGGGAGGGAGCGAAGGGCGGGGTGCGGCGAGGGAATGAGGGAGGCGAGAACGCGGAGAAGCACGGAGTGCAGGGATAAGCACAAGTTGGAGGCGGAATCTGAGGAGGCGGGGGACGACGGATGGTGAGGAAGGGAAAGACAGAACGGGATGGAGCAGGCTTGGTGAGGGCGGGGAAGAGGGGTTGGGGAGTTGGGAACCCAAAGGGGTACCCCGTCTCCTCCTTTTCCGCACCATTCTAGTGCTCCTCACCCCAAGCCCAGCGGCGCGCCGGACCTTGTTTTTCATCATCTTGGCAAATCCGTCGGCGTCGAAGTATTCCATGTCGCACCCCTTGGCCTTCCATTTCAGCTGCCTGTACAGCGAGTCCGGCCGCCCGTTGCGCTCGCAGTTGTACGACGACCTGATGAACGGGCAGAAATTCGTCTTGGCGGGGTTGCCAGAGTAGTGCGGGAGATCCGCGGCGTATATCCACCTGCCCGCCGTGTAGTCGCATTTGGCTGCAAGGGACGGGGATTGGTAAAAATTCGGTTGCGCTTGCTGTAGGGTATTGGTTGGTTGGAACAGGGGAGAAGAATTGGAAAGAATGTGGCAAAGACACGGAGAAAAGTGTTTAGGAGGGCATAGCTCTCCTCGATACGTACGTGCGCGTGGCGTCGTTGTCAGGGTAGGAACCGCTATCGTTTCGTGAACCGTCGAAGTCGGGGGAGCTTTCCCTTGGCTCGTACTTGCACTAGTGATCGAATCAATCCCAACTGCCCTTGGCATCGATACGGCCAGCATTGCCGTGGCTATCGCGAGCATGGTTACCACCAGCGGCGACGCCAGTGGTTGATATGATGGTCGTCTCGACAGCACGCGGCGATGCCGGCCGCGCATTGTTGTTGGTTCTGCCATTCTTCTGTACGCCGATGATCTTCGAAATAGCACTTGATTTTCTCTTCGTGTGAATGGTTCTGATATCAAGAATGCCGGGGGTGTCCGAGTAGCGGTCAAAAGATGGTGTCTGGCGTTTTGCGGGGTGTTAGACAGGATGTTCGTGGTGTGAGCTGGGCATACACGTGGCGAGCTACTGGAAAGCTAATCTCTACAAGAAAAAAAGGCAAAGGTGAAGGGTTCGAGCTGATGAAGAGTAAGTGCTGTCTTTCCGATGTCTCAGGACCCAATCTTGGCGTGTATACGCAGCAAGGAAAGAGGGTACGGACACGCAAGCTCCTGCGGACGGAGCGGGAAGTTGCTGGATCGCACTGGACCTGTGTCACGAGCTTCCTGGACCTGGCGCCGTTGTTCGTAACCCTGAAACAGCTATGGTGACATTTGGCCCAAGGACGTCTCTAGACCTCGACGGAAGCCTGTAAAGCAAAGGGCGTATCACCTCTATATGGCTGATATGACCTCAGGTTGAGTCGGACGGATGATGGCAATGAAAAGCAAATGGGGGAGCTATGAAAAGCGAGATTAGGATGCTGACTCTACTCGTGAACTCTCATTCCTTGTTTTCTGGTCCCGCAGCCTTGACTTTCCTTAGTGTGGAGTCTATCACAAGGGCGGGCTCGTTCTTCCCGCCGCACAAAACAGCTGGAACGAAACGGAACACTCGATAGCAGTGTGATCATGTACTTTGTCCTGCTGCTTCAGTTGGTGGGGCCGTCCATCAATGGAACGCGCACATTTCGCTGGAATTTGGGTTGGGATGGGATGTGGGAGCCGCTACGCGGCTCGGAGTTTTTTTCGGCTCGAGGCGCTGGACTTGTGGCAGGCTGGTTGGGAAATTTGGGTTCTGGAACGGTACGAATGGGTCTGTGTTTCACTGCGACCCAGTCTGGTCATCATCAGGCGGGGTTGTGTTGGTGTCATAAAGCACACACCCACTGTAGAAGGATTGTGGTGGGAACGAGGACCCTGGAGAGCTTCTCAACCTCGCGAACGGGTGAAGGAGCTGAAGCAGACCCTCAGAAATTGACAGAAAACCCCGAAACCTCACATTGGTTGCAGACACACCAGTTTTGAGCACCAATGAACGTAAGCCAAGGCTACAATCTCCAAAGTGCGACGCGGACTTGGCAGATGGGGGAGGCCACACGCGCAAATTCATCCCAGACCAATTTCTAGGATGAAGCCGCCAGAAAACAGCTCGGTTGTTAGGAGTGAAACGAAATGAACTAAAGCTGGTTCAATCATCAGGGGTAGGATATCATTCGTTTTCTACAGAAAATGTATTTTTTTGTGAGAGTAGATAGTGTTACATTCTTGTGTTGGTGCCACCTTTGCACCCACCCTCGCCTATATTTGTACCCTCCTCTCTAATCAATCCTCCCTTTCCCTATTCTCTCTCGCCATCCTAAGGCTAAACCTAAAGCCCGATGCTAACAACGAAGTCAATATACGGTAAGAACAGCGGAATGGTGTGAACTAGAAAGTGAGGTGATACAAACAGCAAATCCAAGCCTAAGGCAAACACATTTATAATGACACTACCGTATGCATAAAAGGGTATCATTTGCAGGTTAATTCTAGTAGGTACACTCAATTCCCTTCTCGAAATGAGCAACTATCGGGGTTTGATGGCTTGACAAGCCCTTCATGGATGAAGCTGATTTCCACGCAGTTGAGGCAGATTGCATTGAACTCCGCATGGAACATGCGATACCCAAGATTCTCCAGTGCATACAGGGCAGGGAGAAGAAGTGCTGGCTTGTGCAGGCTGGAGGCACAGCAATGGGAGAGGAATGATGGGAACGGTGACACGGGAATAATGTGGCGGACTGACTAGTCGTAAGAAGCAAATGATAGGCTACATGCTTTGCAAAGTGATGGGAGGAAAATCCTGTGGGGATGACATAATGCACAGCCAACGGCCAAATGACAAGAGACAATAGGAAGGACAATGGACGAGGAAACCAGAGGGAGATGACGCGGAAGAGTGAGAAAGAGCGAGGGATCCAGGGTGAGGAGGAGGGACGAGCAAGAGAGAGAAAGGGGGAGAGGGGAGGAGAGAAAGGTGGGGTTAGACACAAGCGTCATCCGGTCTTACTGGTGGAACTCCATGAGGATCTGCCCAAACGGCAGCGCACCGCCATGGATGGCGAGCTTGGCGGGCTGGGAGCCATACGAAGCAGTCATGTCCTTGATGACTTCCAGCTCGCAGCCCTCACAGTCGATCTTGAACACGTCCACGTACGTGTGGTTCATCAGCGCCAGCAGGCGCGCCAGCGTCACAAAGAGCTTCATGGGGTTCTTGCGGCGGTACGTCTGCAGATCCGCCTCGCCGGACAGCCCGATGGCGCGGAAGCTCAGGAAGGGCAGGTCGCGCATCTGCTCCTCCACCGCCGGCTTCAGGAAGGGGTCGAACGTGAAGATGGCGCCCGCGTGCGCCCTCGCGAACTGCTCCTCGAAGTCGTATGAGCCCCGGCTGCCAATGCTGCACGTAGTGATGCACATGCAGAGACATGCAAGTGGTATTAACGGGGTGGGTTGTGAAGAAAGATGCGAGACTGGAGAAGGATGAGGGCACAAGAAGTGAGAAGCAAGTGAGGTAGGGAAGGAGGGGGGTTGGTGAGGAGGGGGGAGGGAGGGAGGGAGAGTAAAGAGAGGCGAAGAGAGGGAGAGCCGCCAGTGAGCAAACGCACAGGTGTTGATTGACGGGGCCGAGCAGACGAGGGCGACAGCGGGAGGGATTGGCGGGGCAAGCACTGAGGAAAGGGCAGCGCACCTGTAGACCGTGGTGTTGCGCTGGAAGATCCCCGGAATCATGCACGTCCACTGTCGCCATGCGCACGGCGCCACGACGCGGCGGTGGAGGGAGGGGTATGGCGATCCCGAATCGTAGGGTACGGAGGGAGGGAAGGAGGGAGAAAGGGCAAGGGAAACGAGCGAGGGATGAGTGAAAAGATGGAAGACGGGCGCTGGTGACAGGTGTTCCTTCGAAGAGTCGAAATGTGTTGTGCAACATCGTGGATTCGCTGTATCAATGTGAACGAATGTGCCGACAGGCGTCTGGAGGAGCGCGCATTGGCCCTGCGATAGTTCGCCTCCAACGCCCCAACTTTGGAGTCGGTGCAATGCTTCTCACTGTAGCATGTGCTTGGTGCCGTACGGAGAGCGCAGCATGAGATTCTAAAAATGCAATGGAGAAACGCCAAGATAATGAATGTTTGTTTACTTCTGTACACGACCTTCTCATCCTTGAACGAGACTCTAATCTTATGCCGCAGCTTCCCTTAGGAAGTCAGGCGGATTTGCACAACATTGTTCGGAGTTTGTTCCACCGCCCAGCTATCACCCAAGCGGGTTTAGGGTAACCTTTTCAAATACACGTGAGCATACGTGCGTCTCTGCACACTTCAATGCATTCATTACTTCATTTGTTCACGCCAGAGAACCAGAGGCCCGCGATTCCCTCCTCGTACGCGCGACGAAGCCTACAAGAACAAGCCAGCATTCACGCTCTCACCTTGCCGCCGTCGCCCCAGTCCCCGAGGCGCTCCTCGAAGGGGCAGGCGTACATGGGGTTGACGATGAAGAGCTTCGTGCCGCGCGTGCCCAGGTCCAACGGCTGCAGCACGCCCTTCAGCTTCTCGCTCCGCCGTTGGACATTCTCCTGCGACAAGAACGCGACAAGAGGACGCGACAAGAACCACGTCAGACCATTTCTAAAACCACCAACAATGCACCTCTGGTGAATTATGTTTGGTCCTCGCACTATCCTCAGACAAATCTTAATACCGAATAAATGTTGCTACATATTTTACGACATCGTGCGAGCTCCTCCACATTCCGAGATGCTTCAAGGTGAACTAGCAATCGTGGGCTTTCAAGAGACTGAATGTACCCAGTACGTAGCCTCCGAGTGGCACTGCGCCAAGTCCACGTGGCACGTTCCGCGAGCATTTAACGCTGACCAGTCGACTCCCCACGCGTGGCCTACGTTGGCCCATTGCGGATCGGAACGGTGACGGGGGAATAGCAAGACAACGAAGATGACGGCAATGACTGCGATACTACAGAGGCCACGAGCGGAAAGCGCGCGAGTGCGAGACTCGACCATGGTGTCGACGCAGTGGTGAACAAGTTAATCTAAAAAACCGCGAAGTGATGGCTGCTTGAAAGAACTAATTGAAAAAAGCTGCTGATGAGATGATTGCTTGAGAAGGGTAGCTTCAAAACTGCTTGGTGGAATCGCTTGATTGGGAGCGATTGGGATCTGGATTCTGGGGACAAACACTTGTCAGTCAGTCACCGTGCGTAGGACAGATGCTCCGCGTTTTGCGTAGGCCCTTCGGTGTCGACTCGTTTGGGGCCACCCTCTAAACCGTAGGTCCGGCGTAGGTTTGGTTGAGCTCAACCTTGCGTCAGGGTTCGGTTCGGGAGCGGCGACCTTGAAACTAGAACAGGGCTAGCGAGAAGACAAGGGGAGAGATGGGAAATTGGTAAAGAGGTGAGGTGTTTAAATAATTACCGGCAACTGGAGACAATTAAAGAGGGACGGGGAAACAGGCCCGAAGCGCGGGGTGAAAGGGCCAGACGAGGCAGGGGGCACGGGGCGAACGGCGGGTAATGTTCAACTCTGGAGCCGAGGCGGCAGGCAGGAAGGCGAAAACCGTAGCTAGGGCGGCGGTGACAAGGTGTAGCGCCGGTATGACGGTGAAATTGGCGAAGAACGTGACTTAGGGATCTAGAGGGAGGTAAGGCGACTAGGTAGCGGTGCGCCAAAAGGAGCACTCTACCTCTGTGGCAGCACCAGGGGGCGGCGTCGCGCAAATGGACGGCGAAAAGGGAAAGAAAACCTTTGAGGTGGTGGAAAGGTTCGTAACCTAGGTGGCGGCGAGGGGGACATGGAGAAAGACTACGGAACCGATAACCGTAAGTAGATCTTCGGTGGCGATGAGGGGGGCGGTGCTCATGGCTAAGAAGAGAGCCTAGGTGCCAGAAATCGAAGTGGGGTATATCGCCGAGGTGGCAGAGAAAGGGTAGGGAGCCTAGGCGGCTGCCCAAAACCCGGGACCATAAGAAGGTCCGAACGCGGGAGCGCGAGGTACGAAATTGGCAGCCTAGGCGGCAAACCGAATTTCTGGGATGGTTTAAGTGCTCAAACGGCGAAGGAAGGCAAAAGGAACGAAATCGAAGCAGGGAGAGGTGGCGCGGCAGAGACAGAAAATGGGAGCAGGGGTTGAGTGGGAGGCGTAAACGTGGACAGCGATAAGGTAGAAAAGGAAGACAAGGGGGGGAAGAGGAAACCAGGGGGGGAGAGGGTGGTACCTGGAGAGGAGGCCACGCGCGGGAAATGGAGGGGGGCGATCAGTGGGGGCAACCGGAACAAAAGCAGGAAACGGAAAACTTACCTGAAGAACACGTCGGAGTCGAGTGTGGCAAGGGGGCAGACGCTTGGAGATCGCCCAACTTGGCTTGGAAATTGGAATGTCCCCCAAACCCACAGAGGATAGGAAGGGGCTCGAAACGAACAGTAGGAAAAACGAAAAAGGCAGCAGGAGGAAAAGCGGAAGGAAACCACCGAACAATAGGTAAGGGGAGCTGACGAACCTACCTGCAGGGAACGCTAGGTCGAGGAGAGGAACCGGCCTAGGGGGCCAACGGTGTGCCTAGTGCTGCTAGCTGGAGGGGGGAAGGCTCGAGCCATGGGAAGAAGGTATGATGAGGTTGCCACTGGACCTATGGAGTGTTCGAAAACCGGTTCGAGGGTGACGTTAGAAAATAGCGCGGAACTGGTTTACGAACCCGAAATCGGCGCTTTCCGTCGTCGCCCCCGCGGTTTTAAAAGCTAGGTTTTTAGCGGTCGAAAAACTTCGCTTGCAAACAAGCTCTGATTACCAATTGTGAGGATCTAGGATCGAGCTCAGAAAAGAGAGTTTGAATTGAATGATCACCAGGGTACAACACGAGGCTATATATAGGCTCGACACAAGGCCCCGTAACCAGGTGTTACGTGAAGGTTCCGCGGGTCGCGAAGCGTCCCGAACAGATCCTTCCCGAATTCGGTGGAAGGCAATTCGGTGGCAACCGAAAAGCAAGAATTCGGTGCACGCAACCTAGCTCGGTGCTATAACTATAATAAAATATAGGAAAGCAACTAGCCTAGGAAATCAAGCAATTCATGCATGCATATAATTATCCTATGCTAGAAATAGCATGAAAAATAAAGGCAAGCAAGCATAGCTGGCATAAGCCGTCGTACTCTCACAACCCCAGGCCCGGAACACTAACGCATCGCCAACCTCCCTCGTCCACCGCAGTGTGGACGAGGTCTCCGGCAAGGAGACACGGGGCCAGAGGCTGAGCTGATGCGCGGCGTAGCGGACCACAAACGTCCACAAAAAATGGGGGGCAGCCGCATCGACCATGGAGGTACGAGCGACCTCCAAGACCAAGCCAATGCGGCGCTCAGCAACCCCATTCTGCAGCGGAGAGGCCGGAAGCGTGAACTGTTAGAATTTATATGTAACTGTCTGTAGCTGTAGTTTAGTGTAGCTATTATAAACTGTTGGTGGTGCACCTTCTTTGCATGCTCTGTTTACTATATGTACCCTAGTGCTATAGTGAACGCCACTTTTCCCATTCTCGACTCTCACCTTGGCACAACCTTCTCGACTTCCCTTAGGCCTAGGCTACTAAGCCTAGGCCCTACCTAAAACCTAAGCTTACTCTTACTTAGTAACTCAACTTGAACGTCTGGAGAATGCCCTCCCCGCGACAAAATCTCTGCAGAAGGTCAGAGGAAAACTCCCCACCTCTGTCAGAGTGCAGACGCAGGACGGGAAACTTCGTCCCGAACCGCTCGCGGAGCTGGAGACGGGCAGCGCGGATCCAAGGGATCAAAACATCAGGGACCTCACCCTTGGTGCGCAAGGGGAAGACCGTGGTGTAACGCGAGTAGTCGTCAACAACCAGCTGGAAGTAGCGCTCGCAGTCCTGCCCACTGACGCGGGCTGGGCCCCACACGTCCATGTGCAGGGTCTGCAGGGGAGCAGTCGTCAAGGGAAACGAGGAGGACTGATGAGCGGCGCGCTGCCGCCCCTCGACACAAGGAAGACAGGGAGGAGCAGGCGAGGGTGGGAGGGGAGGGAGAACCCTGGGAAGACCAGATACAAGGACACGGCGGTGCATGCTACGAAGGCGCTGCATCGAGGGGTGACCAAGACGGTGGTGCCAAAGGAGGGTCCGGTGCGACAAAGCGCGACACGAGAAGGGGGCCGCTAGCTGACCTGACGCAGACGCAGACGCAGACGCACTGACGTGAGGGGACACAGTAGTCAGTATGTACAGACTCAAGCCAGGCGCACGGGTAAACGTGGCCACGTGCCGGCCCGTCCGGAAGCACGTATAGTGGGTCACGCGTTGGCCTCTAGGAGTAAACTGGTCAACCCACTGGCCCTGGAGGTCTGCACCACTCACCAAGTTTGTAGAGAACGAGGGGAGGTGAAGACTTGATAGGGAGCCAGATGGGACCGCCGGACACGGCAAGACCATGGAGGAGTGCGCAAGGACTGGACCCCTAGATGGATCTGCAAGGGAGACTGCAACCAGCCGACTGAGCGGCGTGAGGGTGGTGCGGTCGCAAAAGAAGGAGCGGGAAGCACTTGAGTCAAGTGTGAAGGTGTACAAGGCCTCAGCAGGCACAATACCAGAGAGAGCAGACTCACCAGTACCTGGAGCAGTAGCCTCACCAGCACCTAGAGAAGGAGACGCACTAGAACCTAGAGTAGCAGCCTCACCAACACCTAGAGCAGGAGGCGCACTAGCACCTAGAGTAGCAGCCTCACCAATACCTAGAGCAGCTGGCTCTGTACCTGGGTCAGGCGGTACGCACAGGTAATAGGGACCGTCAGCACTAGTAGGCAATGCATACATATAGTGAGAATAGCATCATAGTGAAGAGCAAAGATATCTACCCTCTGCCTAAGCAGCTCCAGCCAGGTGGGGAGCTCAGCCGCGTCGCCAAACTCAGTACGCCAGGCGTCGCTCAAACGGGCGAAGTAGCGGGACTGTGTGTGACCAAGCGTCCCGCAAGCCTGACCAGCGCGATCACCTGTGCGAATGACGTACGGGCAGCGAAAGGTACTTCGAGACCCTCTACTCTGAGCGTACCACTCGTGAAGCTGCTGGGACGCAAGTGTCTCGCGTGGACGCCGCTGCAGCTGCAACTGGCCACTGTGAGACGCTCCCAACTGACCCACTCCAAGGCGACAGCTGCGATGGCTACCGCCACAACCCCAACTAGCGTACCACTCACAAAGCTGCTCGTGCGGGAGAGACTCGCGTGGACGTCGCTGGAGCTGCATCTGGCCACCGCCAATAGCAGGTTTAGCAGAAATAGCAGCAGTAGCAGCCTAGCAGCAGTAACAGAAGTACCAGCAGTAGCAGCGCGGGCAGGGCAGATGCGGCAGGCAGGTAGGTAGGCAAGCAGACAGGCAGGCAGATGATGCACTAGCGCGCGAACAAGGTAGGTGCTCACCAGTGGCTGGAAGGGCAGGTGCTTGCCAGGCGAGCATGGCCCGCACTCGGCAGGCGGCGACCGGGTAGGCGCACGACAGCGGCGACGGCGGGGCCGCGACAGCTGTGGCAGAGCAGGGCCACGTCGGTGGTAGAGCAGGTCCGCGATAGCTGCTGCGGGGCGGGCCGAGACCGCTGCAGGGTGGGGCCGCGAGGACTGCTGCAGGGCGGGGCTGCAAGGACTGCTGTAGGGTGGGGCCGCGGCAGCAACAGGAGGCTCCGCGGCAGTTTCTGCAGGGCGGGGCCGCGACCGAGGCAGGGCGCTCCGCGGCAGCTACTGCAGGAGCGACGGCGGCAGTCAGGCAGTGGGAGCGTCCAGGGGGGGCGGCGTCCAGGGGGGTTGGCGTCGCGACAGGCCGGGGCGACGTCCAGGGGGGGGGGGGGGGGGGGGGGGCGCCGCGACGAACAGGGGCAGCCGCGACGCGCGGAGCTGCAGCGGGCTACTCGAGCCGCGGGCGCGGCGCGCGAAGCCGCAGGGGGCTGCGTGAGGACGGCAGCCGTGGCGCGCGGGGCTGCAGCGCGACGCGCGGGCAGTGGACG